GTCTTCACAGCAGAATGAATTATTTTTTTTTTACGGCGGATGCCCTTCCAACTACAACCCAGCACTGAAAGTACAACCCTCAGTGCTGGGAAACACCCACACACTCTTCTATTCACACACTACAGTCAATTTAATTGATCTAATTCACCAACACTGCATATCTTTAGGGAAACTGGTCCACCTGGAGACAAACCTGCAAACAACGGGAGAACATGCAAGGTCCACAGAAAGGCCTGCTGGTCCAGCCAGGACTTGAATCTGTGACCTTCTTGCTGTGAGGTAATTATGCTAACCACATAGCCACCACAAACACAGCAGCTTCAACATAAAAAACTCAATTTGTCACAACTGCTACTTCTATAATTAAACAAATAATATTTTACATTTTTAGTACACCTGAGCGATGAGGAAGAAGAAATTGTTCAACTATGATCACCTTCAGCTTTTCTACTTCTCAAAGATAATAATATGATGTAAGACACAAGCCAATTTCACTCATTCATTCATCACAATAAAGAAGAGCAAAGAACAGAGCAAAGACTTCTAGCTAAAGGGCTTTGCAAAATAGGAAGTGGCTATAGGAAAACTGCAAAAACACTGCAAATGTCCACCATCAGAGCAATAATTTAAGAGTTTTAGTCACCACTGTATGTGTTATGAATTAACCTTCAGAACTGCAGAAGTTACTTGGCTCTTGGAGTAAGAAATTCTCCAAAACTACAATCTGGCATCACCTGCAACACCACAAATAGCTTGAAAGTGTTAAAAGAAAGCAAAACCTTTACTCTCATCTAAAACAAACTCAATCATTTTCCTTTTTTTGGTTAATATTTTGATTTAAAAAATTACAGATTAAATACAGGCCTTTTCACGGGCATTCTGTGCTTAAACAGGGTGCCAATATTAGAGGAGGGAACTGTCATTTTTGGTTTTATTCATCAAGGATGAACCCTAGTTGTACAACAGGGCTCTGTGATACTTTAATTACCAGAGATATTAACACAGGCTTTAGCTGACAGTGGCTTTGGGTGCAGTATGATTTTTTTTTTTTACAGAGCCATTGATGGGTGCTTTAGTTTACTTTTACAACTTGACTTGTGTGGCTGATACAAACACACTCTTAAAAATAAAGATGGATAACTTCATGAAGAACCTTTAAATCCCATCAGTTCCACAAAAAAGTCTTTAATGAGATTTTAAAATATTATGTACACTAAGAAAAAATGCTGAGAACATTTTTAAAAATATCTAACATACTTTTGTCGCTTAAATGGAATGGAAAGGTTATATTCTACTAAAATCATTATTTGTAACTGGCATCAATGGTTCCATAAAGAGAAGATAAGGTGGTTAGCACCATCCCCTTACAGCAAGAAGGTCTTGGTTCGAGTCCCGGCTGGGTCAGTTGGCATTTCTGTGCGGAGTTTGCATGTTCATTTGGGTTTCCTCTGGGTGCCCCAGTTTCCCACAGTCCAAGGACATGCGCTATAGGTGAATTGAATAAACTAAATTGGTCATAGTGTATACATGTGAATGGGTGTTTCCCAGTGTACTGAGTTGCAGCTGTGTATACATACTTTGTAAACATATGCTGGATAAGTAGGCGGTATACTCCGCTGTGGCGACCCCTGATGAATAATGGAGGTAAGCCGAAGGAAAATGAATGAATGAATGAATGAATGAATGAATGAATGAATGAATGAATGAATGAATGAATGTTCCATAAAGAACATTTGACATCCATTTAACCTTTGCTTCCACATAAGGCAAAAGATTAGATAATGAAAGATTTTTAAACTATGAATACATGGTTCTTTGAAGAAGTATCATGGTCTTTACAAAGTTATTAGGCAACACAACTATGTCCAACATGAAAATGATAATGGATTTCATCTTAATCAGGAAATCATCTTATAAGAAAGGTTTCTGAAGGATCATGTTTCTCATTACAGGAATTTATTAAAGAAAACTCACTTACTTTCCTTCGGCTCAGTCCCTGATTTATCAGCATTCGCCACAGTGGAATGAACCACCAAATACCCTGGCACTCAATTTATGTACTGCAGTATTAAAGAAAACTTTAGTAATTCATAAAATAAGTAACTCTTATAATATTACTGTTTTAGAGTGTTATTATCAAATAAATAAAGACCAAAGCAGTGAACATAAGAGACTGCTTTGGAAAAGAAAAAATCATACCGACCCCAAGCTTTTGAACTATTTACAAAGCTTATTATACTGTACAGTGTTCCTTAAAATGCAAAAAAAAAAAGGTGTAATTGAACAAAAACATATTAACAATGATTAACATTTAACATGAAAGCATTTTAAAAGACAACATAAGGTCATTCAGAAGATGCTGTCAAGGCGTTCAATTGTCTTGGCATTTACTTCCTAACAAACATGCAAATTACACAGAAGCAAGGCCAAATTGTACTGTATGTTGTTGCTTTGGAAACAGATTCTGATGTACATTATGCTGAGGCTTCCATGAGTAACCTTGAAAAACATGCTATTCTAAAGTCCTTTAAATCCTAATCACAGTTATTGAACGAAGCTGCCATCGCATTAAGCCCTTAGTGTGGCAGGGAGCGTTTATTTAATAGTTTAACAAAGAAACAAGATAAAGAAACAATGAGAGATTGAAAGGAAGTGACATCCATTGTTGGCATGATAAATAACATATGATGCTGCATTAATGGCTTCTTTCCAGTCGCCTTTTAGCTGGTCTGACTCATGGGATCCTATGGGACAGACTCATCGACCGGTACCAGAAAAGGTGTGAGGTTTTCACATGTCGTGAGGAGCACGTGCTATATCTTGGCTTTTTGCTTTTGCACATCTGCCCCTGGCTCTGATCCAGGACCTCTTAAAGAGGGTTCGGTGGCATTTGGGCTACAGACACAACACCAAGCTGTGATGCATGATGCAAGCCAGTTCATTAAGCAACTGCAAACAGAAATGAGCCACAACAGCAAGGATGCCCCTTCACAAGGTCAACCATTGTGCTCAAAACATTATTCAAGGTAACGAACAGAAATCTGGCACATAATTCACTGAATGGCATTTAAGACAGAACTATATGACCTTCACAAGGTGACTGGAAATGCAGATTGATGAAAACACAAAAATAGAAGGTTCGGCTCACAAGAAACATGCCAGACTTTAAAATGTGCAGTCTTTGAGGATAAAGAGGGAGTGAAAGATCTGACATTGTGAGTGAAGTTACATCATAGAAATGTCACAGCTGCTCCAGGGACCCTTTGCATGCTGTGAAGCACTTAACACTAAGTGTTCATAATGATAACATTCACATTAAAAGTACAGTATGGTTCAAGAATTATCTTTATCAACATAAACCATGCATGCAAAGTTAAAGGCTGAATACTAGCTTAAAGAGATGATGAAGATAAAATAAAGTAAAATAACACACCAAAGAAGATTTGTAAAATATCTTTAGAATAGGCAACTTATATCTGTTACTTCTTTCTATCTGAAAATCCAATTCATTCATAACATCCAGCCTAGTGGACATCAGCCAAGTACATGCTTTGAATATATCTATCACATTTAGACACTAAAACTGAAGCAAATAAAAGTAACAAAGAAAGAAAACGTGCCACAATCTAAATATTACGAACTTAGTCGCCATTCTTCAACAGAATCTGTAGTAGCTGCTTGTAAAGCTACAGGTTTGATTTCTTGTTGCTTATTTGGTTCCTGCGATAACAGTCCCTTACACTTCGACTAATTATGATTCAAAGAACAGATCATTCACACTGTGCCAGTTCACCATCTGTACAGCAAACTTCACTCGCCTCAACAACAGCTTTTAATTAGGATGAACAAAGCAATGCCCGTTTTAGGTAATTAAAGGCGTTTTGATGAGATGTCCCATCTACAGTTACCTCCACAGATCGCACTCCTCTGAGTGACTCTCTACGCGCAGCTCCGTTTCTTCTTCGCTATTAGTTGATGGACCGGACACATCCACAACGCGCAAAGGCAATTCCAAACCATACTTTTCCGGACCCATTATCGTTTGTTATAGTATAGATAGTAAGCTAATGTCTATAACGTAAATGCGTCGTTCGCTAAAGACCCCTTAAAACACTAGCGAAATTATGGCCGCACGCGCTCTCATGCAGACCGCCGAGGTGATGAGCTCCGAGTGCGGTTTGTAGCGTCCAGTTCCCGCGCCCCTGGAGACCGGAGTGACAAGCCATAACTCACATGGGCCATACATCACTAGTCCTTCAAATAACACCTTGCTCTTAACGTGAATGAGCGACCACAATATAAACAGATTTAGCATCGCTGGCATGGCATTTTTTAAACCCGACTTTGTTTACAGATAACGACTGGCAAAATATTATTGTGAAAATTTCCTGTATTAAATTTGTTGACCTTTTATTAGCTCACCTATAGTGACCAAACACAAAACTAAGCAAGGAGGTTTCCAGGTCAATCAGTCATTTGTTAAGGGCTACTTAATTGTAAAAACTAGGTTGACTTACACCCTTTTTTAAAATAAATGTAATATATTGACATAGCTGGCTCCTCAAGGAACCTTTAAAAACCATGAAACCATCATTCCACAAAATGTTCTTTATTATGCAAAAATGTATAATTAAGATCACACTGTACACAAAAACGTTCATCGTAAACTTCCATTAAAGAGTTTTATTATGACATCCCTGAAAAAAATAAAATAAAATTTCGCTTTGTTCCTGCCACCATATAGAGTCAATCATCCCATAAAGCCGTCAATGAAGCAAAAAAGAGCAAACTAACTAATGAACCGTGTCCGAATTTGCATTAATATTCATAAATTGAAGCCAAACCTTTTATGCAAAATTAAATGGACACAACTCAATAAACACATGTAGAATGAATATCCATACAATCGAGATCTTTTCACAACAGGTGCCATAAACCGGATTTCCCTACGCTCCGTCTCCTTAACACCCACACATGGCATTTTAAAGACATCCACTCACCTCCTCAAAGGCTGTGTTTTGCAAATCTCGAAGTCTTATAAAGCTAGTGTTGTGAGTTTGTCTCGGGTGGGATTATTGTTGTTGGTCTCATATGTAGTACGCTAAAAAAAGAGTAATTGAAAAAAAAAACAATGAGATGTTCAGTTGCCCCAGTTATCTGTTCTCGGTCCCGCTAGCATATGACAGCCCCATTGCCACCGCAGCGGAGTTTCTTAAAGATCCATCAGGTGAAAAGCTCGCTCCAGAAGCCACTGTCGTGTTTTTTTCAAAGTTCAAACCTTTAAATGAACGGCTCAGAAATGTGCCCGTCGCGCGCTCGCCTCGTGCGTAACAGGCGTTCTCCGCCGCGCGCCCAAGGGCGTGTTGCATTTAAAGCCCTTCCAGAATGCGCCGAGATTTATAAGCATTCTAAAAACGGAGTCCCGTTTCACTGGTGTTTGTCTCCTGGCAAAATTTGAGAAAAAGCCAAAATCTTCTTGGTAAATGTATGGCGCTGATAAGGTAGGTGACGGGCGCGCAGCCCTTTAGTGATTTAGCGGCTGGAGCGGTTCAGCCGATCTGCTCCACGTTTCCTCCTTCAGAGATCTGGCAGGTGTGTCAGACTCAGAGACTGGTGTAGGGTGGAGTTAAAAATAGATCCGTAATGGTTCACTATTAGCAGACAGAGACATGTGAGGTTTATAACCTGAATGAAACACTGCGTATGTCTCTACCTCGTTGTGTTTACTGATTTCATCAAATTATTAAAAAATAATCCTATAAATTATACTAATTGATCATTAAACCAATTTGACACCTGCTCTACCATTTTGCAAGATCACAAACCTTAACTTAAATATGCTCATAAAAAATCTTTCCACAAAATGTTTATTTGAGGAGGACACTTTAGGTGTTACAACTCACCTTTCATTCTCGATTCAAATTTAAGACCTGGAAATATTATCATAATCTTGCAAGGAACCCATAATAAACGAAAAAAAATGAAGAATTGATTTTTAATTTTTGTGATAAGACCCAATTTAAGCAGAGGGTCTTATATAAATAACACAATTTCTCTTATTTAATTAGTATATATGTCTATATTCTATACTTTTAACAAGCAATATATTGTGTTTTTTATTTTTACAATATTACTATGGGTGGCGACGTGGTGGCACAGTAGGTAGTGCTGTTGCCTCACGGCAAGAAGATCGCTGGTTCGAGCCTCAGCTGGGTCAGATGGCGTTTCTGTGTGTTCTCCCAGCGTTCGCGTGGGTTTCCTCTGAGTGCTCCGTTTTCCCCCACAGTCCAAACAGATGTGCTATAAGTTAATTAAATTAACTAAATTGGCCGTAGTGTTTGTATGTTAATGGGAGTGTATGGAGGTTTCCCAATATTTGGTTGCAGCTGGCAGATCATCCGCTGTGTAAATGAAAAGTACAGGGCAGCTAAAACCCCGTACAGTTACTCAGCAAGCATTTTTTGTGTTTAAAAGATAGACATCTAATAGATGTCTAATAGATGTTTAATAGACATTAAAACATATAGTCATCTTAGCAAAAGCAAGGCTAAATTTAGGCTAAAATACTAATAGACATCAAATAAACAGAAATGAATGACTACACACTACACATAGTTTTGGGCTATTCTTAGATGTCTATTAGATTTTCACAGCCCAAGATTAGCCTTGTTTTAGCCAAGGCGACTTCGATGTCTATTAGATGTCTATTAAACACAAAATGGTTTGCTGGGATACTTACAATTGGCTGCTTTGCTTGAAAAACGTATACTATAAAGAAGTTTCATTCGATTCATTTGATTTATTAATGCATGCTTAGACTCACTATTTTACCTGTATACAATGATTTAATGACATTTTTACAGGGATAATTTAACGCTGTGTTCTCTTTCTTTGAAAAGTGGTGGAATTACATCATCATCCCTCCTTTATTCTCAATAGACTGTGGCTGCATGGCCCTGAGTCTAAGGTTCATGCATTTTTACGCTGTATTCTTACTAATTAAAAATAAGATCATTAACGTAGTCTCAAAGGGTATACATGCACTGCATAATAGTTTGGGACGAAAAAAAAGAAACAATAACAGAAATGTGCATGAACGTCAATGATAATTACTGTTGTTTCAGTTGAAGTGTATTTGAAATGTGTTCAGTCCCCCGAGAGCCTACAAAGGAAACCACACATAAATGCATTAAATATTTAGCTTTTATATGTTTAATTAGCAACTGAATGTTGGAATGAAGGAATCAGTTCGATAGCAGCTCCACAAATTAACTTGAGATGGCATTGAAGTGCTTGAATGATAAACCTGTGCTAGACCTAACATAATTGTTGACTGGACAAAGGGAAAGCACCTGAGCTTCACAAACACTGGCCTTATTTTGACAGAGGAGAGAAAATCCATTTTTAATAAGAGATAAAGAGTTTGAAAAATAAAGTTTTATATTAGAGTGTCTCTATTGTGTTATTTTGGATATTACTTTTGTGATATGTAACTGTTTGTGAATGCAAAAGGTCTGCAAAGTTTCAAATATCAAAGTGCTGTACAAATGAGCAATATCACATACTTAGCAGTGCGATATGGCGGTATATCAGCACTGACAGGGGCCTTAGTGTACCACCAGTGATGATATACAGCCATATTGCACTGCTACAAGTGTGATGTTGTGTTTATACAACAGTTCGACGCCATTATTGTGTCTATAAAAAAGACAATCAAACATCGAGAGTCTAAAAATCCTCATGAGGAACTATTTTCTTCTGCAATTCATTCACATCTGCAGCTGACATCAGATCAGCAAAAACCATTACTACTTCACAAACATCCCGTTAGAGCTAGTATTTGAAAGATTTTCCTGCGTACTGTCTAAAGTGATGACAAAACAAGTGATTTTGCTGACATTTTAAGATTATAAGTCTGAACGGCATGAAATACCATCAGTCTACAGAGATTTCCCAGTATTTTTTATTTTTTTTTGTTACAATCAGGGGTTCGTTCTTCGTACGTGGATTACTCAGTTAGCTGGATTTGGACGATTTGACACGATCCAGGATCATTTCGTTCTTCAAAGTTGATCCGAGAGTTGTTGTCATAGCAACAGTTCCGGTAGATCAAACCTGCTCGGCAGCAGGCTCAATTCATATAAACAGGATTAGATCGGGTTAGTTTTTGCAAAGAAAATACTGTAAGTATGTACCAAATGCTGATATTTTCTTACAGTAGTAGTTATATACACTTTGGAAAATAATAAAACTTGGAATCTGCACCCCCGAAATGAAAGTACAAAGACTGCCAAAGAGAAAACTTATAGATATGAACTTTTTAGATCGCTTTAGAACAATTTGTGTATAATAGAAATGCACGATTTGTGACTTTTTTTAAAAGCAATAATACATATGTAGTCATAAACATGTTTTAACAGTTAATGTGACGGTGATTTGATGCTTCACAAAAGTTGCAGACACCTTTACCAATATCAAAATGCTTTTGTAAACATCCAGTTATTCTTTACACCTATATAAAAAATGGCTACTAAGTTATGATAAAGAAAATCTTTTCTAAATGTAAAACTAAATACACTGATATGCATTGAAATAGATGATGAATACTATTGACACATGAAAGTGTAAAGACTGCAGCTCACAACAACTGTGGAAGGTTATTGCGTGTCATATTTAACTAACGGTTTACTGCTAATTTGATGTAATTTTGCTCATATGGATAATGGAATATTAATCAGATGATGTCATTACGCTACTGTGCCGTCAGCCAATCGTTGCATTGCTGATCATGATTTCAAGGATCGATAGATCTGTCCTTCACAACACACGCAGCGATCTCAGATCAGTTTATCCAGACATTCTAATCTGATTCGCGAACTTGTTTGAAGAACCAAATTAGGAAGAGATCAGTTATTGAGATGAAAAGATCCAGGATCTGCCAAATCATCTTAGATCTTTTAAGCGAGGTAAGTTACGAAGAACGGACAGGAGATCACAATAATTAACCCCCAAAATCCAAAGCAGCGCAAATTCTGTGGCTTCGCAAAAATGATAAAAGTGTCAAACTCACCACAGATGAGGAGAAACACATGCAGAAACATCATAAACCAGCAAACTGTTGTGTTTGCAATAAGGAAAAACGCTAAACACGTGCAGACATTTCTTCTTTCTTTAACTTACTAAACTAGCCTGCAGGAGACTCATTAGAAACAGATGGCCAACCAAAAAGTAACTCAGGGTTATACAAAGAGAGGCCAACACAATATACATATATTGCTAATATGTGAGTGCCTTCTCACACTCAACACACTACAATTACTATAGTATAAATGCAGCAATACAACATAAAAAGAGAGAGATCGACTTCATCATTTACATGTTTATTAATGATTTGATCAGCTGTAGTTTAAAACCTCCTTTTCAGCCCGGGAGTTTCAAGCCTCAGACTGGCCCACCTCAGTTCACGACTGACTATATTAAAATAAGGTCATTTCCAATTCAGTTTCTAATGACACTATCACGTCTTTTTTGAGAAAACAACTGCTTTAGAACTTCAAATGTTCAACAACCCTAACAGTATTATATGTCTTAACAATAAAAATGAAAATAATAAAAATCACTCAGATGAGGATCGAACCCGGGTCTGCGGGGTCGAAAACTAACATGCTATCCACTGAACCACAACAGCTGTTCAGCTAAGTTTGATCAAGTTATATCATCATTAACCTGCAAGCCGCAACTTGCTCACTGAGCTGCGAGAAAATAGATAGAAGAGTAGAGCTGCGGTAAAATAATGAATAAAAAGACTGTGGTCAAGTAAATAAATAAATTAATTTAAAAAGTGTACTGCTGAGAGCAACCAATTCTTTAGCTAGGGATACCGGCCCTCGCGGCCAAAAAACAGACCGGCCCACCGGGAATTCTCCCGGTCAGGGGCGGACTGGCCATCTGGCAATTCTGGCAAATGTTCCTCAAATTCCTCAATACTGGCAAAATTCCTCAAATAGAGGAACCAATTTTTTAAATGTGGGCCGGTCAGTTTTTTTTTAATATGTATTGTTTTTAAGTGCAGACAGCTTTTATCTCTTGCTAGATGTGATATTATGATGATGATAATAAAAATAATTATGATAAATGTTAAGCATTTGGCACAATCGGCAACTGCCGCCTGGTTTCAAGATGGGCCAACCCAATCCAAGGTTACCCGGACATAATCAAAATATGGCAAAAATGTCATATTATTTCACTATCTTTACACCAAAATAAATAGTGAATGTGCGTGTCCGTGGGTGGGGCTGTGTCGGTGTGGTAATGTGGGCTGGTGTGGCAACAGTGCCAGGGCTTATTTTTTGCCCCAGTCCGTCCCTGGCAACACTTATTTTTCCACAATGCCATTAACTTTGCAAACCAAGATCAGCATGAAAACACAGCAAATCCAATGCGTTCATGCAGTGCACCATAGTTTGTTAAGAGAGAGATTAAGAGCGATAATAACATGTTCATACAGAGTGTCTAATTTGTATAGACAGAGATAAGAAGCTAATAAGAAAATGTGTTTATCATTATGTCCTCCTGATAATTCAAATCTGGCACTCAAAAAGTTTTTGTTCACCTCCTCCTTAGTTATAAGATCAGCCCTCAGGCCCTGACG